CAGTTCTTAATTCATTTATATAGTCTTTATTGATTAATTTTTTTTATAAAATTTATTTGCAAAGGTTTTTGTAATATATTATCACAAATAGCACAAAAATATTAGCACAATTTATTTTTCCCGATTAATTCTGTTGTGTTTAAGTAAATAAATGTTTAATTATTTTTAATGCTAATATAGTTTATCTTACTTAGACACAAATGAATTAAATCTGGCAAGATCAATGGTGCTATTTTGAAAATACACTATACTACTGGAATTACTTAGTAATCATTACTTTACAGTTGTAATTTAAACCAGAAAAATTCATTTAGGTTCGTACATATTCGCTTGTTTACAGCCTTTTTCAGTAAAAATCGTGGGAGATTCAATAAAAATTTTAAATTATTATTTTTTAGTTAAATTAAAAACTAAGGCACTTCAATTTAGAATTATTTATCCTATCTTACAAGGTACAGGTAGGATTGTTTTTAAAAGGAGATCACATCTTAAATTCGTTTTAAGAAAAAAAAAAAAACTTATCACATTTGATTAGTACATTAATTTATAATTTAAACTCAAAAAATCACATGCACTTTTAAATTAAAGTAAAATTTTTAAATTAATTTCATTTGTACCATTTCGTTTTAAATTATAAGTTAAAAATGCGTAAATTTATAGTTTTATGTTTTTTTTTGGTTTGTTGTCTATAACTTGTTTAAATGTAAAATGTTTAAATTCATTTCATTTGCACCATTTCGTTTTAAGTTATAAGTTAAAAATACGTTAACTTAAAGATTCATTTTGGTTTGTCAATAACTTTTTAAAAGTAAAATTTTTAAATTCATTTCATTTGAACTATTTCGTTTTAAGTTATACGTTAAAAATTAAATCCATTTCATTTATCCATTTCGTCTTAGGTTATAAGTTAAAAATCCCTTAATTTAAAGAATCATTTTGGTTTTTTGTCTATATATTTTTTTAAAATGTTTTGATTTCTCAAATTGCAAGGCTTTCCTTAGAGACTCTTCTGGCGTCAATCCTTTCAAAGGCAACTTCGCTATAGCTCCTGAAAGTTTAAATATAAAATTTAACTAAATCAGTTTATGAGTTAAAAAAAAAAATTCTTTAATACCTGTAAGCGTGTGGTAAAAGTTTTTAAAAGATTTGAGTCCAACTTTACCATGCGATCCATCGACATTTAAAGCATTAATAACATCACTCCTTATGACCAGTGTTATATTTTTTACGTTAAATTGAAGTATAGAAGAAATGGCAGTTTTCTGAAAAAATGGTAGAAGTGAACGCCGTTATTAATAAAAAAAAATAAAATTAATGTGTTTTAAAATATATATGTACATACATAGACATCTCTATTGTCACATGTTATCTTATTTTCCAACTGCTGCATTTCTGATATGTTACATATCGGGAAGTATTTTACAACTGGTGCCTTCTGTGATTCTTGGCGAACCAGTTGCTCAGTAGCCACCTTCTGCCCAGCTATTGCATCCATAATTGCAGCGTTCTGAGTTTCCACTACCCCTTGAAGCTTGTCGACCTTGGCATTCAATGATTCTAGTTGTTTTTGGAAGATTTCGCAGTGACTGCAGCACACAACTTCATACACATCTTGGTTGGACTCTGCAAATTGTGGATTTAAATACAATAAATAGGTAATTCTTATATTGAACATACATATATTACTAGGTCCATAAACCGACTCCTTTCCAAACCGATTTAACAGAAATGGGGTTCTCATTATGTAAATAAATAAAAGTTTAAATTTATGTA